AAGCCAAATTCAGAAGTGTAAAAATTCAGCCCAACTGAACGGCCTGCATGGCTCTTTTACAAAATGTCTCTTGAACGAAGAAGGAAGCCAAGACTTGATGTCAAAAGGTGGAAAGTTCCCCTGGTATTAAAGAGGAATTGGGTTCTGTAAAATAGCCCTCGGCCAATGTCCAGAATTTCAGTTGCTAAGCGAGGCGGTTGCGAAGAGATTCGCGCCTGATTTTACAGCCTCTTTTTTTTTTTTTTTTGCTCATGGTTTTAAGTAAATTACTGCAGTTGGTTTGGTTTGTCTGCTTGCAGAGTTTCCCCAAATCCTCCCTAAAGAATTAATCCCCCCCCCCCCGCAGTGAAAACCTATTTGAGTTGAAAGGTTTGGTAAGACGCAATTGCCTTATTGCCGATAGGTCTTTAATTGCGTGGGGGGAATTAACCCTGGTGGAACCTGGTTGGTTTTTTCCCCTTCTAGATCAGGGAGGAAGAGATGGTTCCTGCTTGAACCTGGTCATTCTCCTCTTCCAGATCAGGAAGGAAGGGGACATTTCTGGTTGAACCTGGTTGGTCGTCTTTTGTAGACCAGGAAGGGAAGAGAAGTTTCTGCTTGAACCTGGTTAATTTTTTTCTTCAGGGAGGGAGGGGACATTCCTGGTTGAACCTTATTGTTCTCTTCTTTTAGATCCAAAAGGAAGGGGACGTTCCTGGTCTCTACCTGGTTATTTTCCTCTTTTAGATTTCTGGTGGAACCTGGTTGGTCCTCTCTTCTAGACCAGGAAGGAAGAGGCTATCCTGGTGGAACATGGTTTCCTCTCTCAGAGCGGAAAGGGGGCATCCCTCTCCTCCAGCTCTTTGCTGATCCTGTCCACCAGCCCCTGAGGATCCCCCAGATCAGCTGGGAGAATTTTGCTCCCTCCGATTTCCCGGCCGTTTCTTCCTCTTGCCCTTTGAAGCCGAGGAATCCAAACCACTCGAGTATTCAAAGGCAACATTGAGACGAGGTCTGACTTGAGTCTTCTTCAGAAGGTCACGCCTGGAGAAAAAGAGAGAGAGAATAAATAAATAAATAAAAAGATGGTAAAGTTTCGGTTTTCTGGAGAAAAGGCTTCATTGATTTTCTTTTCCAACCCTCACATATTGTCCTGCCCTTGTTGGAATCTGATTCGGAGGGAGCGGTAGAACAGCTGACAGGGAATGGGAGGGTGGCTCCAGTGGCTGTGGAGGAAACTGGGGGAGGGCACGGTCCGGCTGGGCATTCAGAGGAAGACCCAGGCCCACCCCCTCTTCATCCTAGGGCACGCAGGGAGGAATGGAGAAGGGAGCAACGTGGCTTACGGGGGAGAAAAGGGCCCTGATCCCCTTCATTAGCTGCAGCTGGGAAAACAGGATAAAAAAGGTGTTTGTGCACAGCACTTTGCTGGAAGCAAAGCGTGCATTATCTTTGTTTGTCACGTCTTATCTGGGTTCTGGCGTCCTCCCAACTGTGTGTATTTTGTTATCTTTTGAAGTCTGCAATTCCTTATCCTGCCCTGTCTCGTTAATTGCTGCAGTGTGGTTTGTGTTGCTTTTTATTTATAAACTATATGGACTTTGGGTTCGGACTGAATTTCTTCCCTTTGAAAACTGTTCTTGGGAGAGTTTTTTCTCCAGCTGATGATAACTGGACATTGGGGGCCAAGTTGGAGGTATTAAAGGGACTTTACCTACTTTCGTGACTTTGTTGCTTTTGTGCCACACCCCTTTGGGTCATCGCACAAATGAGTCCACCAAGTTCCATTTGGCCAGTCACATTTTTAGAGGTAGCCTTCGACTTGCTACGGTTCATTTAGTGACCATTCAAAGTTACAACAGCATTGAAAAAGTGGCTTATGGCCATTTTACTTATGACTGTTGCCGCATCCCCATGGTCAAGCGATATACATTCGGATGCTTGGCAACTGGACTCATGTTTACGATGGTCGCAGTGTGTCCCAGGGAGAAGTCACGCGGTCCCCTTTTGCGACCTTCTGACCAGCAGACTCAACGGGAGAGAAGACGGATTCACTCAACGATGTTGTAACTCACTTTAACACCCACAGGGATTCACTTAACAAAGAAGTGGCAGGAAAGATCGTAAAACGGGGGGCAAAACTCACTGAGCAAACGTCTTGCTTAGCAACAGGGATTCTGGGCTCAACTGTGGTCGTAAGTGGAGGACTACCCGGACCCTCTGCAATCCGGAGCCAAACTGATTTGGAAAAAACCAAACCCTCCTATATTTTCAACCGGAGACCAGCCTTGACGATTTTTTATTTTTAAAAAGAAAATAGGGGAAGAGAGACTTTTCTGTTGATAGCATCAGTCTGACTGCTGAACAGAGAAGCGTGGGGGGAAAAAAACCCCACTCCACCTCCTGGGAAGGATTCCAGTTCTCCCTGCCTCTAATTAAGTGATATTAAGGCCCCGTAAATGCCACGAGGAAATTGGCAGCCCAGCCGCTCCTGAGCTGATAGGCCGTAGGCAATGGCTTTGCCAGGAGAAGCAGATCCAGCTGCACTCTTGGGCCACCAGAACTTGGTTGGGGGGAAAAAAAGGTGGTTTTTGGAGCATCGGTGAGCAGGTTAGAAAAATAGGCTTGGAAGGGACCTTGGGGGTCTTCTAGTCCAACCCCAGGCAGGAGATTCTATCCCATTCCGGATAAACGGCTGTCCAGTCTCTTCTTGAAGACCTCCAATGATGGAGCGCCCACAACTTCCAAAAGCAACTTCTGTCCCATTTGGTTGACTGTTTTCACTGTCGAGAAATGCCTCCTTATTTCCAGGTTGAATCTCTCCTGGGTCAGTTTCCACCCGTTACTTCTTGTCCCACCCTCAGGTGCTTTGGAGAATAGTTGAGCCCCCCTTTCTCTGTGGCAGCCTCTCAAATATTGGAAGTGTTCTATCACCGTGATGGAGAACCCATGGCACACATGCCACAGGTGGCACGCGGAGCCATTTGTGTGGGCACGTGAGCCAAACTTACCTGCACTGTGCATTCGCGCGCCTCCCAGCGGATTTTTGGCTTGTTTGAGGCCATTTTTGACCTTGAAGGAAGCCTCTGCAGGCTTGGGAGGCCAAAAAAATGGGCTGTCATTCCCCCTGTGGAGACTGACTCTGAGGGAGAGGAGGAACAGCCGACAGGGAGTGGAAGTGTGGCTCCGGAGGTTGGGGAGGAGGCTGGGGAAGGGCAGAGGCCGCTGGGCAGCCAGAGGAGGACCCAGGCCCATCCCCTCCCCATCCTAGGGCACGCAGGGAGGAGAGGATAAGGGAGAGACATGGTCTACTCGGGAGGAGAGGGCCTCGATCCTCTTCATGGGCTGCAGCTGTGACAACTGGATAAGAGGACGGACATGCGTATGGGTGAGTGCTGGAAACAAAGCATGGAAATATCTCTAGTTTATGGTTCCTCTCTGAGTTTGGCGTCCTTCCCAGTGTGTGTTCTGATATCTGCGGACATCCTCCAGCCCTTCTCTTGCCTGGTTTGTGTTGCTTTCTTCCTCCTTCTTGTAACTTTTCTAGACTTTTTCAATTGTGTTAATATCAGATACGTAATGCGGGTTCCAGACTGATGCGCTGCATTCGAGTATTGGTCTAGCAAATGTTTTGTATGCTTTAGTTATTAGTGTGATATTACCAGAGAAAAAGCTACGTAGGATTAGGTTAACAACTCTTAACGCCTTTTTGGCTATGTAGTTACAGTGGGCTCTGGCACTTAGATCATTAGAGGTGAGTATTCCAAGGTCCTTTACAGAGTTTGGATCCTCAAGCGTGGCCTCTAAAACGACGGACTTTATACATTTATAAAATGTGTTTGTTTGTTTTTTTAAATAGATGAAATTTATTTATTTGAAAAGCGTTTGGGGCTCCCCGCGCCGAGAGGGAAGGCCAGGCCGGGTTTCTGGAAAAAGGAAAGCGCGGGAAGCTTTATCCCCTTGCAGGGGTGTGAACGAGGGGATGCTTGGGTATCTGGTGCCTTCTATTTTTCTTCTAGGCCCTTGGGGGGGTGTGTGTAGGGAAAGGGAATTTAAGAGAATAACAAGCTTGCAGGAACAGAGGAAAAACATTGTGTGGCAGTAATCCGAAGAGACTTTTGGTGTCAGTCAAGCCCGCTCCCCGCTGGGCCGCCCGAGACTTCAAAGGCAGCCCCCATCCCATCTTACATGTCCTTTATCGGCTAATCAGGCTGCTATTCACTCAATAAAGCTCCTTTAAATCCCCCCACACACAACTCGCTTGTCGTGCTGCCCATCTGCTGGCGAGGGTCAGCCACCCCCCCAAAAAACATGGGGGTCCTTAGCAGGTTCTGGAGAGGGAGAGACGACAATGTTTAGAGACATTCCTCCCCTCCCTCTCTCTACACACACACAGAGAGAGAGAGAGACACAGCCCATTTCACTTAATTTGGCTCAAATTCAGCCCAGCCCGTTTCTGGTCCCTGTCAAGGAAAGAAAAAGGGGGGGGGGGAGTTTGGATTAAGGGGTGGGGGATGTCTTTGTGGGAACCCTGGGGTCTCCCAATCCACACAAGGTGGTGCGAGGGGAAGAGAAATCCCTCCCAACACTTATTTGTCTTGACTCTTTTATGGCGTCCACGTGGATTTTAAGGTTTGGAACTTTGAGGGGGGGGGGGGGGCGGGTTGTATGTGTGTGTTTGGAAACCTCTTCATGGGTCAGCCAGCCAGAGTCAGCGGATCACGAATTGAGCGGCATATAAAAACTGAATAAATAAGATAGGTCAAAGGAAAGGAAAAGGAAAAGGAAAAGGAAAAGGAAAAGGAAAAGGAAAAGGAAAAGGGAAGGGAAGGGAAGGGAAGGGAAGAGAAGAGAAGAGAAGAGAAGAGAAGAGAAGAGAAGAGAAGAGAAGAAAAGAAAAGAAAAGAAAAGAAAAGAAAAGAAAAGAAAAGAAAAGAAAAGAAAAAAGAAAAGAAAAGAAAAGGAGAAAAGTTACCTGGCTCTGTACCTTTTCTGCTTCTTTCCCTGCTGAGGGGCTCCAGCCACAGCGCCAAGGTTCCCAGGGGCATCGCGGAGGCCGAAACTCTTAGCCACGTGACCCAAATGCAGAGCCCGGATGTGGAAGATGGGCTTGAGGTTGGCGGGATAGGTGGCGTACGAGCGAATGAAGGACTGCAGGGCTGCAAGACGAGAGGAGCCAATGAAGACATCTCAGAGTCGCTCAAAGGTCTATGGAGATGGTCAAACCATCCAGGTCAAAAGACTTAAATCTTAAAAAGTTGTTTTTTTAAAAAAAGATGTTTTGCTTCTCATCCAAGAAGCTTCCTCCGTTTTGACAGTCAGAACTGAGGAAGCCTCATGGATGAGAAGCAAAACGTTTTGAATTGAATTGAGTACTTTATTGGTCGAGTGTGATTGGACACACAAGGAATTTGTCTTGGTGTAAATACTCTCAGTATACATAAAAGAAAAGATACATTCGTTAAGAATCAAGAATCATAACATACGTTTTCTATCATATCTATCTATCTATCATCTCTATCCTATCTACCTACCTACCCATCTCCCTATCATCCATCCATCCAACCATCTTTCTTTTCTTTATATCTCTATCTCTCTCTCTTTTTTCCTTCCTTCCTTTTTCTTTTTTCTCTCCCTCCCCTCTCTCCCCCCCTCTCTATATAGACCATCCATCCCTCTTTCTTTCTTTCCTTTTCTTTATCATCCATCCCTTTCTTTCCTCTATCTATCTATCTATCTATCTATCTATCTATCTATCTATCTATCTACCTAGTTATCATCCATCCAACCTTCCAACCAACCATCTCTTTCTTTCTTTCCTCTATATCTCTATTCCTTCCTTCCTTCCTTCCTTCCTTCCTTCCTTCCTTCCTTCCTTCCCCAAAAAAGACTGGACAACCAAATCCATGTATTTATGATGGCTGCAGTGTCTGTGTGTGTGTGTGTATGTGTGTGTGCGCACGCCACGTGACAAGCCAAGTCAATGGGGAAGCCAAACTCGCTTTAACAACGGTCTTGCTTAGTGATGGAAATTTGGGGCTCCACTGTGGTCCGAAGACCAGGACTGCCTCCATCCCTCCGAGGAACATGGAACCCCCGAGGCTTCAAACGGCCTGAAAACCCCAAGGGCCGGAGGGAGACCCCTTGGTGGACACCCTCTCTCTCCAGCCCTCGAGGCTGACCCCAGCTGCCCTCCCCCCTCCTGCCGACCCCTCCCCACCCCTCTTTCCGCCCTTCCTTCCTGAGCCGGAACACCGGTTTATTTGTGCAGAGCTTAAGCCTAAACCTCCCTGCGGCGGGAGATTGTGGTTTACGAACAGTAATAAAAATGTCATTTTAGCAGGCTCAGCTCCAGAAGAACTTGGGGAATCTCTGTTTGCCAAGCAAAGCGAACTCCATTTCCCAATCAGTGAGGGAATAACCAAGGGCGGCAGCCCCCTCCTCTCTCCTTTCCCAGCCTCCATTTTCTTTTTTTTGGGGGGGGGGGGGTAGAGGAGGAGAAGGAATTGTGAGGTAAAATACGGGGTTTTAAGATGCCCACTTCAGGTATTGGGAGCCAAGTGACATCTCAAAGCCTCTGAAACGGCTCCTCCGGTGGCAAGTTTATAGTCCATATTGATCAAAGGAAAAAGGGTTTGAAATTTTAGGATGGGGTTTATAAAAACAGCCCTCTGAAAGAGCACAAAAGGCAAGTTTTCTAGTCCACAGGGATTAGGAGAAAAAGGCTTCCTTCCTCCCTCCCTCAGAATCTTTTTCTAGCCACCTTTTCTTTCTCTCTCCCCCTCTCTTCCTTCTGAATCTTTTTCTATCTTTTCTTTCTCCTTCCTTCCTTCTTCATCAGAATCTTGTTCTATCTTTCTTTCCTTAGAATCTTCTTATATCCATCTTTTCTTTCTCTTTCCTTCCTTCCTTTCCTCCCTCCCTCCGAATCTTTTTCTATCCATCTTTTCTTTCTTTCCTTCTTTCTTTCTCTGCTCCATTCCTTCTTTCCTTAGAATCGTTTTCTATCTTTTTTTCCTTTCTCTTTCCTTCCTTCCCTCCCTCTCTCCAATTTTTTTCTATCCACCTTTTCTTTCTTTCTCTCTTCCCTTCCTTCTTTCCTTAGAATTGTTTTCTATCCTTTCTTTCTTTCTTTCTTTCTTCTTTCTTTTCTTTCTTTCTTTCTCTTTCCTTCCCTCCTTCTCTCTGAATTATTTGCTATCCATCTTTTCTTTCTCGTCCTCTCTCTTCCCTTCCTTCCTTCCTTCCTTCCTTCCTTCCTTAGAATCGTTTTCTATCCATCTTTTCTTTCTTTCTCTTCCTTCCTTCCTCTTTCTCGCTTTCCTTCCCTCCCTCCTTCCTCAGAACCTTTTGCTATCCATCTTTCCTTTCTCTTTCTCCTTCTTTCCTTCCCATCTTTTTTCTCCCTCATTCTCTTTCTTTCCTCCTCTCCCCTTCCGGTGCCTTCTCCACCCCCAAAATCTCACCGGCCACAGATTAAAAACTCTGCCAAGGAGACCCCGATCCACAACCGGTCATCCACACCAACTCGGTCCAGAGGCCCCCCCCCCCGCTCCCCTCCTCGGGGCTGGGGTTCGGGAAAGGACAGGCCGAGGAACCGCCGGCAGGCTGAGCCTTTGGCGCCGTTTCCGTTTGATTCCCTGCCATCCACCTCAGAGTCCAGCTGCTGTGTTAATTATTCACCGCTCTTGGCTGGGCTGGAGAAGGGTGGCTGGTGGATGCCAGCTGGAAAGGGGGCACGGCAGGGGGACCGGCATGCAGCGAGAGGAAGAGCAACTGGCAGGGGGAGGGAGGGAAGAGGAGGAGGGAGGGGGCAGCTTTGCAAATAATAATAATAATAATAATAATAGTCATCATCATCATCATCATCATGCTTGGGAAGTGTTCGACTAGTGATTTGTGATACGAAACTCAGCCTAGTTATCTCATTTGCAGTGTACACTGTTGTTTTTTGTGAATAATAATAATAATAAGAAATAAAAACAGGAGGGAGGGAGAAAGGCACAGACAGGACGGGAGGCCTTTTAAGGGCCCATCGGAAAACGCTTGGCCTTTATCCTGCCCCTAGGCTGGCAGGGGGGGAGCACGTCCCGTCTGGGTTTTATGGGAGCCTCGTGGCAGAACCTGCCGATGCCAATATGGGCCGTGGAGAAGCCGGGACTGCAGCTCTTGTGCTGGAAACAGCCGCCCCGGCCAGAGACACCCAACGCTTCCGTTCCGCTTAAGGACGCCACTCAGGTACAGAGAATCAGAGTTGGAAGGGACCTTATAGGTCATCCAGTCCAACCCCCCACCCAAGCGGGAGACCCTACACCATTTCTGACAAATGGCAGCCCAATCTCTCCTTGAAAGTCTCCAGTGAGACGGCCCTGCTTTTGGTTAAAGCCACGAAAACTCGCCTGGCGTTGCCCATATAAACTCGGGAGCCGGAAGTTCCAACCCTTTTGGGTTTTGGAGCGAGTTATTTCACAGGCTGAAAGCATCCGATGCATCTCAGAGGCCGGCAGCAGCACACCTGCCCGGTAATTCTACCTGAGCTAATTCTTGACTTACAACCATTTTGTTTAGTGTCCAACGCTGAAAAGGGTGACTTATCATCGTCTTTCACACCGAACGACCGTTGCAGGATTCCCCCATATTTCCGCGATCAAAATTCAAATGCTTGACAACTGACTCGTCTTTATGACGGCGGCAGTGTCCTGGCGGGGTCACGGGATCTCCTTTTGCAACCTTCCGACAAGCAAAGGGGGAAAAGCCGGATTCACTTAACGACAATGGGACTAATTTAACAACTGCAGGGATTCACTTAACAACGGTGGCAAGGGCGGTCGTAGAATGGAGCAAAACTCATTTAACAACAGTCTCGCTTAGCAACGGAAATTTTGGGCTGAATTGTGGTCGTAAGTTTTATGTTAAATTCATCTCTTTTTTCTCCCTCTCTTTTTTTTTGTACACCATTTTTTTGTTGTTGTTTTAAGTGCTGGACAGATTTTTTTTTTTTGTATGTTTGTTTTCTGTTTTGTATTTCACCTTTTATGATAAAAGAAAATAAGCATACTTCAAATAAAGAAATTTCGGGATCAGCTGTGGTCGGTAAGTCGAGGACTACCTACCAGTCGTTAAGTGAATCACTGCAGTGGTGGAGTCAGTAACACGGGTTAATGTCAGAGGGTCGCAAAAGGGGGAATGTGACGTCGGGAGGCTGCAACCGTCATAAACATGAGTCAGTTGCCAAACGGCCGAATTTTGATCACGGGGATGTTGTGGTCGTAAGCCACTTTTCCCAGCACTGTCGTAACTATAAACAGTTGCTGTTATATGTGAAAATTACATATTGTGAGTTACACCTGAGAAAATGAAGAACAGAAGAGAGTCCATGTTTATCTGATATACGAACTGTGAAATGATTATTGGACAGTTATATAACTATATCTAATAAACATGTACTGTTTTGTAACTTGTTTATGTCCTAAAGTAATGGCAAGTCTGTATTTTTTGGCATAAGGAGATGAGAAGGAGATGCTAGGTTATCATTACCCAAAAGGAACTGGTTAATGATCTACCGTATTACAGAAGGTCATAACAGGACCATAACAGGAAGCCATGAGAATGAGGGTAGTTTCCAAGGATAAGGAAACAGGTGGTATGCTACAATAATATGGGTGTGGTGTAGGGAGATACGTAGCTTGGATAGATTGTGAACCCAGGAAAGGGGCAGAGACTGTATATTTGAACCTGTATATAAACCCCAGCCCTCCTGGGGGAAATGTCTTCTGCCATGAGCAGAATTCCCTTTTGCAAAAGCTTAATAATAAAGCTCTTGTTCACTGTCTCCAGTTGCTTTTTTATTTTTATCACAGTTGCCAAACAAATGGAAATAAGTTAAGGACTATCTGGCATGCTTTGTACTAAGAAAAAAAGAAAAGAAAATTAAAGTTGCTCTCGTCCCCCTTAAACTCGGAGAGTTAGGGAAGGAAATTCCTGACCTTTTTTGGCCCATCGGATGGTTTTAGCACTGGAATGGATGAAATCCTCAAATTCGGTCTGCATTACGGTAGCCCTTCGGTGTATTTCCTGGACATCTCCCTGCTGGCTCTTCTGAACAGGGAAGAAGTGGGAAAACTTTTAAGCACAGTCAAAAAGCAAGAGAGAAAACTCTGCCACCTAACCTACTTTATGCCTGTTGGGCACACTAGCAATAGAAGTATCCAAATACAGGAATATTTATCCAAAGCGGCGAAAACAAAGCAATTAAGATAGCAACAGTAACGACTACTTCAATTTATCTGGCTTTAAAGTAATACAGAACTCTTTGGCAAGTGTAACGATTAAAATCCCCTTGATTTCCTAAGTTCAATTCTATTTTTTTTTTTATGATTATTAAACAGATACTATTTATAGTTTAATGGTATGTAATGATTAAACTATTAAACAAAACATATACTGCAGCTGTCATAAGTAAGAATCAGTAGACAAATGTCCGAATTTTAATCCCCACGTGACCATGGGAAGGCTGCAACGGTCGTTACGAATGAAAAATGACCCTAGGTCACTCGGTTCAGCGTTGCAAAAACCCACAAGTAGCTCAATCCAGACCGTAACCCTCTTTAAAGTCGGGCGTGAATCCTGATTTGTGGACCAGGATATTGCAGGCTGCCTTTAGACACCTTTGCAAACAGTAAAACCAGGATGGGTAAACCAGGATGGATCCCCATATGACGCCAAGCCCAAACCAAACAATTTCTCTGTTTTTTTCTTCTTCTTCTTCCTTACACCTGGACTGCTCTGTCAGGTTGTTGTGATAGCACAAAAAAAAATGTCCCTTTGATTTCCTTGGGGGGCCGTGGGTGGGAAAGAAAAATGGACCACAGGAGAAGTAAGGAAGGTAAAATGTCACCCCAATATAGATTTGCGTAGACTTTCTGCATTATTATTTTGTTAAAAGAAAAGTGATGTACAAATCATATTTAAAAACTGGTCTTTAAAACCTGTCTTGGCAAAATACTAAGTCGTTTCCCCCTCCTTCCTTGCTCCCGGAGGCTCCCGGCATTCGTCAATCCAGCTTTTCTCTTCTTTTTCTTTTTTTCATTTTTCAAGCCCTGTTGGGTTGCACACAGTGTCATCTACCTTCCCGGTGTGCGTGCGGGCGTGTGTGTGTGTTCTCTCTCTTTTTTTTTAATATGAATGTGAAATTAAGCGAAGCTGCCCTTTCCCCCTGACGTCCAGAATCCTCTGTTATTAAAAAGTAAAGCACTTTAATAATGAAAAACTTTTTCCCCCCATTCCTGCCCCTCCTCCTCCCCGTGTTTTAACTGTTTAAAATTAATGAGAAGGGCAGACCGGTTGTCAAAGCATTATTGAAAGCGGGCAGTGAGGACCAAATAAACTCGAAAAATCCCCCCCCGAGTGTTAAATAAACACAGCCTCACACCTCTCCAAATCCCACTGATGGTTATTGTATACTTTTCCGCAACCGAGCTCAGAATAGACGCCAGCGCCAAGGAAGCAAGGGAAGATTTCAGGCTTCCAATAAAGGACTTAATTTAAAGACAGCCCAGCGCAAATTCCGGGAGAAAATTAAAGGGACCTCAAATTTAAGTGACAGGTGACTTGAGCTATGCCAAGTCTGTCTGGGGATTTAGTAATAATATGGCAATATATTACAAAGGACTTCTCACTATCCGCTTTCTCCTAGGCCCGAGTTCCTTATCTTTTAGGCTTCAAAAATGAGGTATCGCTTCTTCCTTTCTCCAGGAAGGAGAGAGAGAGAGAGAAAGAGGTAGAATGAGAAAGAGAGAAGGAAGGAAGGAAGGGAGGGAGGGAGGGAAAGGAAGAAAGGAAAGGAAAGGAAAGAAAAAAGGGAGGGAGGGAAAGGGAGAAAGAAAAGGAAAGGAAAGAAAAAAGGGAGGGAGGAAAGGGAGAAAGAAAAGGAAGGAAGAAAAGAGAAGGGAGAAAGAAAAGGAAGGAAGGATATAAAAAGACAAATCAACTATCAAGATGCCAACTGCCCCCTTTTCTTTGAAGAGCTACGAAAAATGCAATGGGTGGGATTGGGCATCTTTTGAACCCTTCTCCAGTCACAAACGATGAAGCATCTTGAAACATTCACATGCCAAGACAGAAATCTGTCCACGTCCATCTCCATCGTCTCCATCACCACCTCCACCTCCACCTCAATCTAACTCCATCCACCTCCACCTCCACCCATCAACCCCCGCAAGTAGACCAGACCAGGAACCCACCTCCAACCCACCCTCTCAAGAAGGGACCCTCAAAAGTTCAATGAAAAGTTTGGGCAGGCTTTGAAGAAACCCTCGACGCACGCACGGATCTTCTACCGGGGGAAGGGAAGTGGGGTGCAAAACCCACCGGAGCCTTTTCACTTCTGCATCCCACCTTTTTCATCAGGATCCTCACTGCAAAGCTCAAACCAGGAAAGGCCACCCAACGGCCGTCCGTTTCCACCAGCCCTCCTCCGCGCCTTCCTATCCGAGTTACTGGGGCCAAAGGTGAGAAAACCTTTTGACAACGTTTTCAGCTTCGCACCTGGAGGCCCGTCTAATGAAAGAGGTCCTCAGCACCTTGAGATCTCGCTTCTCCTTTCCTTTGCCCCACCCCCCCCCTTGCATTGCTTAAGGGGGTCTCCAAACCTGACAGCTTTAAGACTTGTGGGCTTCCAACTCCCAGAATTCCTCCTCCTCCAGTCAGGTTAGCTCGGGAATTCTGGGCGTTGGAAGTCCACAAGTCTCGGAAGACCCTTGGCCTAAGGCCGTGATGGTGAACCTATGGCAGAGCCATTTGCATGGGCATGCGAGCCCCAGTCAAACTTACCTGCACTGCGCATGCCTGCGCCTCCAGGTTGATTTTCGGCCCAGTGGAGGCTGTTTTCGCCCTCCTGGAGGTTCAAGGGAAGCCTCTGCAGCCTCGGGAGGGTGAAAAAACGGGCCCGTTTTCAGTCTGCAGAGGCTCCAGAGGCTTCCCTCGAACCTCCGGAAGGGGAAAATGGCTTCAAACGGGCTGAAAATCGCCGAGGGAGGGGGGGAAGGTCATAAAATTAGGCAAAAACTCGCAAACTAGTCTTTTGCTCTTGCAGATTAAAAAAGAAGAAGAGGAAATTGGAATGAAATCAGACGGAGAAAGAAACCGCGTCTCTGAGAAAAACCGACCTTAGATCTCTCCAGGTTTCCTTTGAAGCGGTCATCTTTCATTAAGTTTGACAAAATCTGTTCCATTTTCATCTCTGAAATGCTGGAATTAGAAAAGGAAAAAATAAAAAATAAAAATAAACCCACCCTTTGCCATAGAGTCTCCTCCTGGCGCTCCGTGCTTCCCTCCCCAACTTAACTGGAAACTCAAAATTGTGGCGCTGACCGGTGACAGGGAGCCTCAGCAAAGGGACGAAAGAGCCACATGCGGCTCCAGAGCCAAAGGTTGCCAACTCCTGGGTCTATTGGAATGGGATTTAAACAGGAAATACCATCGTCCCTTCTGGTCTGCTTCTCATCTATGGCAAAGCCAAGTGGACAACACTGGTGTTTCTTAGCTATAACTCTGACCTCTGCATGTTTCATTTCTGTTTTTTAATGCCCTCCCAGAAATGTTTGCCTGGGTGATCCAGCCTCTCATCATTGATCCAACAGGAGAGTTCGCCCGTCCTCACCCCCAACACGTCTCCTATTTTCCAGTCTGTGGCCAACAGATCAGATCAGCCCACTTCATTCACACAGCAGGGCGAAGATCGGGGAAGTTGGGTGGTGGGCACGGGGGTCGCACATGCCCTGAGACGATGTCGCCCTTGAATGGGCATTCTCTCTCTTGTGATAAAGCCCTTGCAGAACAACAAACTGGAATTATTTGGGTGACAACAACGCTGTCACTTTGCAACTGTCTCAGCGGTTCATGCCACTTCTAAGTCTCACTGAAAAGTACCAAGAGAGAGAGAGGGGGGGGGTACGAAACATGCAGAAATAACAGGCGCACACAAATGTTGGTGTCGGCATGCTCCTTTGATATTTTTTTCCTTCATGCATTTCTTCTTTGCAAGCGCCGCAGAAGAAATATCCATCACACCCACCAAAGGACTCACACACACACACACACACACACACACACAAACCCCAAACAAAATAAAAAGTGGGGTATTAAAATGTTAAATAAACACACCATTTTTTTCCTTCCCCGAAGGCAGTTCAATTAGGTAACATTCTGGCATTAGCTTGGGAGCAGCCAACTCTGAGATACGTAATTCACTGTCACCCTTGATCCTGCTTTCCCCCCTCCCACCCCTTTGGGTGTATCATCCAACAAAACATGTCCATAGCCCAGAGTCATCAATCATGCTCTCCAATTAGATTTTTGGACAACAGAAGCTTCAGTCATCTAATCAGTCTTTGAAGAAAATATGAATGGAATGTACTTTCGATTCCACACTGCCATCTGCTCTTTGAAACTACCCCACACTTCTTTCTGTTGTCAACTATAAAACGTGTATACAAAATGTTTTATGAGTTGACATTCTTCCTCTTCTCTTCCCTTTTAGAGTTGTACAACTTTCCCCACACACCGCAAGCCATTATGGGAGGCTTTTCAGGTTATCCCAAAAGTCAAAAAAGAAATAGGACTTGAAGCAAATAAAAGGGACAACCGCTTCCTAGGAAAAATTTTGACCCACAAAGACGAAATAGCGACCATCTGGGTGGACTGTGTTTTCGTCATGCTCAACTGCCCAGAACTCCTAAGAACAACAAAGTAACATCAAGAGAGAGAGAGAGAGAAAAAACGACCAGCTCTTGAAAAGTGCTCAAAATTGCCATGAATATCTCTGCTGGTTCCCACTTGTTAGTTCCACTTGGCCCATTAAAGAGACAGGAAACAAAGAAAGTGATCAATGATTTAAAAAAAAAAAGCAAAAAACAAAAACAAAACCCAAACCCCAAAACAAACCAGACCTGTGTGCCACGAACGACCAGCACATGGGGTTCTTTCTGCCTCGTTTGCCACACTGAATTTGTCAGGATAAATTTCCACGCGGCTCCATTTACGAACAGAAAGGGCAATTAGATTTGATGCCATGCCGTGCCCCAGGCGTGAAACTGTCTCTCCGGATCTGATCTGCAATCCATTATATCCATATATTCGCCGTCCCCCTGACTGCCTGTGTGTACATGCACGCAGATATATAAGCTAATTTTGCAGATGGCTCGCGCACCTCTCAAAAGAAAAAGAAAGGGAAAGAAATCTATCCTGGAAAGCTGAAAGGTTTTGTGAAGTGGAGTTTCATAGCCGTGTTTCGCTGTGTGTTTAGACACTGGGATGAAACAGCCGGCAAATTCCTTTGGTGGCAACGCTTAAGGAGAGGAGAAGCAAAAATTAGAGCAGGATGAGTCAAGGAGGAGGTTTTTATTGGGTGGTAAATATTTAGGCACCAATAGGTATGGAATAGTGATAGGCTCAGGACTGAACTGTGGGGTACTTGGAGTTCTAGAGCAGGGGTGTCC